GCATGTCTGAAGCTTAGGAAAGGAATCTGGACCAGTGATTCCCTTTGAGGAATCATCAGCATTATTTTGTAAGTAATCTTGCAATAATGCCTTACATAAGCAATCACATATTTCTGTCACCCGCTCATTGCTAGCAACTACAAATGTCCAGTTAACTGCTGTGGAGTGAAGAGGGCAGAGATCATCATGAATTCCTTGAATAACTAGTTCAAATTCAAATAAAATTTAGACCACCACTAGGAAGCAGAATCACAAAACTCGACTAGTGAGGATGTTAAAGGTATCTTGCTTTATCCATGCTACTAGCTATCAGAAAGCAGTAGCAAGGCACTGTACCAGCAAAATCTTATTTCTCCAGGTGAAGTACTAGAGTTGGTGATGACAAAGAGCAGGATTTAAAATATGCTTTCATAGTTCCAACAAGCTGATAGTTCGTTCTCCTTCCTGAGTCATTTTATCATATTGTGCCTTAGGACTTACATCTACCTTCTACGAGGGCAATTTGATAATTGCATCTTCTTTTCTAGAGCCTAAATCACAGGGGCAGGGAATCTGTCTTTCATCTTGAGAGATTCCATAGTTATCTAGCACTGTGACTGAAGAGTAGTGCACCATAAATATTTGTTCAATTGAAGCAAAGCCATAACAGATAATGGCACCCAGGTGTAGGATCATTGTATAACACTATTTAGCTCTCCACACACTGCCACCAGGAAAAGAAAATCTATCTAGAATAGCTCTGCCTTGTTTCAGCTCTGCCTTCTCGTTTCAGCTTTTATAGTATAAATAAGAGTCCTTTTCGCAGTCTATTTAGTGCCATATTTTCTGCATTGTTTTCATCTTTTGTTAGTCTTCTGTTTAAAATGGGTCCCAAGCACAGTGCTGAAGCACTGTCTAGCGTTCCCAAGTACAAAAAGTTTACGATGCGCCTTATGGAGTAAATATGTGTGTTTATTAAGTTTCATTCAGGCATGAGTAACAGTGCTGTTAGCTGTGAGCACAATGTTAATGAATCAACAATAAATATTAAGTGTCTTCAAACAGAAACACATAAAATAAGGTTATAATGATGAAAATGTTGTGACCAGAGGCTTGCAGGAACCTATCCTCCCACTAGGAACAATGGTTCCACTAGGAGCAATGGTTCACTATTTGCTAATTCAGTGCTCTCAGTCACTTTACAAAATCTAACTACTATGAATAACAAGAATAGACTGCACATAGAAATAAAATATATGACAACAATAGCACAAATGACAATAGGAAGAAGATAGAAACTTACTGTTCTAAGGTACACATTACATTATAAAGTGGTATGATATTGTTTGAAGATACTCTGATAAGGTGCACTAGAGCAGGGGTTTGCAAACATTTTCTCTACAAGGTCAGAGAGTAGATTACAGGATTGGTGGTATTAGACCATATAGTATTATATGGTCTCTGTTACAGCTACTCAACTCTGCTGCTGCAGAATGAAAGCAGCCATAGACAAGATATAAATCACTGAGCATCTGTGTTCTAATAAAACTCTATTGACAACAGGTGATAGGCCAGATTTGGCCCATGGATAGAGATTGCTGACCCCTGCATTAGAGGAAATGATAAAAGAAATTTGTAAAGAGTATAGTAAACCAGCAGTGGAGATACTATGGAATTATATAACATAATTCAAAAGAAGGCAAAAACGGACCCAAGAACAGAAGGGACAAATAGAAAATAGCAAAACAATCTATTTAAACCCATGTTTTCTATATGGAAAACGGTATTAAATAGAAATGGTCTAAACACTTAAAAAGCAGAAGTTGACAGCGAATTTAAAAAGCATAAGCGAACTACTAATACATGCAAGCTACAAAAAATTCTACTTTATGTAAGAAAACAGAGAGGCTATAAGCATGTGAAAATATGTCACAATGCAAACACTAATTTTTTATGAAAAGAATGATTAATACCGAAGTATTAGTCCCTCACTTAAGATAGTCCCTCACGTAAGATGATTTGACATACAGGTTTTCAACTTCACAGTGGTGCAAAGGGATAGACATTCAGAGAGCTCCTCAACTTACAATGGGATAAACTCACAGCAGATTGAAAATATCATAAATCAAAACACACTTTCAACTTAATATTTTCTTTTTTTTTTGAGATGGAGTTTTGCTCTTGCCGCTCAGGCCAGAGTGCAATGACACAATCTTGGCTGACTGCAACCTCCACCTTCCAGGTTCAAGCGATTCTCCTGCCTCGGCCTCCAGAGTAGCCGGGATTACAGGCGACCACCATATCGCTGAGCTAAAAATTTTTTTAGTAGAGACAGGGCTTTGCCATGTTGGCCAGCCTGGTCTTGAACCCCTGACCTTATGATCCTCCTGCCTCGGCCTCCCAAAGTGTTGAGATTACAGGCATGAGCTACCATGCCCAGCCTCAACTTAGATTTTCGACTTGTCATGGAATTATCAGGACATAACCCAGTGTAAGCTGAGGAACATCTGTAAGCTTCAGAACAAGATCCTGAAAAATTATATTGAAAAAGGCATCAATATATCAAAGACTGTAAAAGTCCCAAATGTGTTTGCAAAGAATGAGAGCATCAAAAAAAAAACAAAAAAAAAAAAACAAAGAAAAAAACTGACAAAACTAAAGGAGAAACGGACAAATCTACATTTATAGTTGGGAGATTTCAATAGTCCTTTCTCAAGAAAAGATAAAGTAGAAAAAAGTCAATAAAGATATTGAAGATTTGAACACTATCAACCAATTAACCCAACTGACATTTATAGAAAACTGCACTCAACAAGAGCAGAAGACAAGAGAGAATGGGGAAGGTTCCTCCTGAGGAATAATGATTCCACAGCAAGAGTCATTGGAAAATTCAGTTTACTATATCTATTTTATGCTGCTATATTCACTATCAATAATTATTTTATATTTGTATGAAGTTTACACTGAATTATCCTTTTTAAGTTATATCTTATTTCCTTGACATCACTCTAGTTGCTCACAGATGAAGATTTTTAATCTAGTTCTCCAAGAATTTCACCCATTGACCCATTCCTCACATTTATGTTAATGAAGTAACACTGATTCTAGAATAATCCTACAGAACATTGGTAAGCCTCTGTAGGAGTAAATCAATTAGTTCAATTTAGCCATTACACAACATATACATATTTCTTTTTTTTTTTTTTTTTTTTTTTTTTGAGACAAAGTTTCGCTCTTGTTACCCAGGCTGGAGAGCAATGGCGCGATCTCGGCTCGGCACGATATCGGCTCACTGCAATCTAGGCTCACCGCAATCTCCACCTCCTGGGTTCAGGCAATTCTCCTGCCTCAGCCTCCTGAGCAGCTGGGATTACAGGCATGTGCCACCATGCCCAGCTAATTTTTTGTATCTTTAGTAGAGACGGGTTTCACCATGTTGATCAGGATGGTCTCGATCTCTTGACCGCGTGATTCACCCGCCTCGGCCTCCCAAAGTGCTGGGATTACAGGCTTGAGCCACCGCGCCCGGCCTACATATTTCAAAAGAACATGTTGTATTAAATAAACATATTTGGAAAAAATAAACAAAATTTCCAAAGATTGAAACTAACTCATAGAGATTCATCAGAAACACTGGTTATGAGTTTCTATGGTCTCAAATAAAAAGGGAATATTCCATTTAAGTTACAAATATGTATTTAAATATTATCTTTAAGTAAAAAATTACAATCTTGTTGCAAAAGTATTTGAAAAAAACTCTAAAGGATAATGGAAGGGAAACAAAAAGCAAAAATATGGAAGGATACAGGGTTCTACAGGTCTACAGAAGTTCTTAGGAATCATTTAGGCCACATTTACATAAATAAGTCACTGTTAAAACAAAGGCAGCATAGGTCATTTCACGAACTGCATAACATTTTTGAATTGCTAATGACTTTTACGTCAGAAGATAATGGAAAATTATATAAAGCATAAGGAATTGAAACAAAAACAATAAGATGAAGGGCCTGAATTACCAGAGAGATATCATTTTTGCAAATAGAAAGTTTACAAATTGTTTGAAACAAATCTGAAACATGCTTGAGAGTCCATTAAAAGTAAAATATAACCAATTCATACAACCCATATAAACAGTTTTGATAATACAGAAAACATACTAGCCTCATCCATCAAATCAAGATTATTATAGATATTTAGCTAAAGTTCCTTAAAAAAATGGCACAGTACAAGGAAGAGGGTGAATGAGAAACAATATAAAACCACCCTGAATTTTCAAATATTTTGTCATGTATTTAAAATTAATTTATCTATTTTTTAAAAGACAGAGAGAGAGAGAGAATGGTCCTATATTAAATGACAGTTTAGGAAAATTCTGAATGTCTTCTTTGAAAAATAATCAAGTTCTAAAGAGAAGGAAATGGATAAAAAAGAAAAAGAGGGCAGAACACAGGGTACCTAGAAAGAACAAGGTATGGACACGGGACTCGGCCACTAGCTACTGGGTCCCAGGGGGCCTTGTGCCCTCTACCTCTCATTTTCTCTGAAAACAAATGAAATTTCTTATGCTGCCTTGACTCTATACAGATTTTCCTGCTTTTAAGAGACAAACAGAAGAGTGATACTTCAAAGCTAGAATAAATGTATTTTATTTTTTAAGACCTGAGTCTCACTCTGTTGCCCAGGCTAGAGTGCAGTGGCGTGATCTCAGCTCACTGCAACCTCGGCTGCCTGCCCCTCCCCCTGCGCATGTCCTGCCTGAGCCTCCCAAAGTTCTGGGATTAGAGGTGTGAGCCACCGCACCTGACCAAATAAAGGTATTTTAAATCTGGAATATAAGTTCCAATTAGGTAGTCTCTGAAATTTCAAACTTTAGCCTCAGTCAGAGGCCATCAGAACTCTTCCAAAAATACTCAGAATAAATTATTGATGGATCAGTATGTCTTAACTCACTGGTACATGTGTAATTTATAGGAAAGCATCAGCAATAACATTACTATTGACATTAACAGCACATACAGTACCTTTTGATAAACAATGGAGCACACAAGATCCTTGACAGCAGATAAAGACAGTTCCTGGGCTTCAATGGTAACACTCTCCCGTGTGAGGCCAATTTGTAGTAGAAATGAAACTGTATGCACTGAGCCTCTGGAGTTAGTGAGCGATGGTGCACTGAAGCTTCCATTAGACAGTCGGGCAGAGAGTCCCGTCTTAGGACTTGAACACGGAGAAGCAGTTGGAAGCACAGCAGGAATAGCTGGAGATAATACAGACTTCTGGGCTGATGGAGGGGAATTATTTGCAGACATCTGCCTTTCTTTAATCTTTTAAAATAGTCGTCAATTCTTTTTCAATGGTTATGAAGAGGTTTTAAAAATAACAGCAGTAAAGAAAATGACTGCACTTTTGGATTTAGTTGAAAGCTTCTTCATTTCCTCTTTTAAGCCACTCATGCCGATGACGGTAAGTTTTATCAATGAGTTGAATGCATAAAAGGTCGTACTTCTCTTGATATCAGTCACATCAAAAAACAGTCTTGTCTGTAGGAAGACAGCCAGGGATTTGTAAAGGATTTAACATCACTAAGCTATCCTTAGCAGAAGAGAGTTGACGGAGCTTATTTACGAATCTATTTTCCTTTCAGTTTGTTCTGGTCTCCTTAATTTGAGAAAATACATATTGAATACGAGTTGTTTTTCTGTCAAGATGAAATACTCTTTGTTTAAAAAAAAACAGTAAGTGTTTTGGATTAATCAATTCAGTACTTTTGCTTTGGTTTACTAATTCCACAGGACACTTCTCAAATGTCCACACCTTAAATCATCTCCTCAAATGTCCTCATTTTCATTCTGGAGGTGGGGGAACTTTTGTATGATGAAGTACAAAGCTTTTTAAAATAGTATAGGCATATTTCATCAGATGAATGGGTCCATCAAGAAAATTGATGCTTTCTGATATGTAGTCAGCCTGGAAGAAAATTTTTTAAAGGTTTTTAATATTTTATATTCATTCACATTAATTTAAAAATAAGAATGTAACTTAATTTCTGGTCTGTGCTTATAATTCACTAATAAATCTTAATGGGCAGCCATTTTTGGCTAGAGAGCAAAGACTTTTTTCACTATAGGTATAATTTCACTGAAGATAAAAAAAGTATCCTTGGCACTCAACACTGATACCTAAAACTTAAACTTTAAACATTTTTTAAAAATCTACTTTATTTTGAATTGATGAAGACCAAACATTTTTTTTACAATTACATGACTGAATTATATCAAAAACAGAAGGGACAAAAAAGAGTAAAACTGACATATTCCCAGACATACAGTACATATCACCCACACGGAAGATGTTCAATACTTTCCTAATGTAAGAGTATTCTTTTTTCATATTAAAATACTAATCCTGTCAAAATATGACTCCTGACTTGCTTTGTTGAAAAACTCCTTTCAGAAGGCTAAGGAAGCAAGAGGGGATATACTGAACAGTTAAATGATCAACAAGTGTGAAAGCTGACATACTTGTAACAGGAATACAGGAGAAAGGGATCTCAACATAAGGGATTTCACCTATCCAAGTCCTAACTAGGCCCAACACTGCTTAGCTTCCAAGATAAGACAAAATCAGGCACATTTGGGATGATGGGGCCATAGACCACAAAGCATTTCTAACAGAAAGAAAGAGAACAGTAGGTATAGTTAAATATATATAATTATCATAATTTTTAAGAAAGCACAGTTCAAAAAGGTTAAAAAAAAAAAAAAAAAAGGTATGACCCCTCATGGCTTAGGCGTGAAACAGCTCGTAACTGATGGCTCCTTTTAAGTTCCATCTATATACCCATAAATAATTCCAACAGAGAGAAAGAAATATCCAGCGTGGCTGCAGAGTAGTTAATGGGTTAAATTAGGAGGAACATGACAGAAGGGCAAAAGCACACAACTACAGTATTAGGAATTGGAACGCTCAGGAAAAAAACTGAGACAAAAAAATCTGCTTGAAGATAAAAGCTTTTATAGCTACTTTCAAGTAAATGATTATTATTCCATCTTACATAATGCACAACATTTGATAGTTTATATATGTTTCACATACTTTACCTTGTGATACCTCTTTGAAAGTCAACAGGGTAAATATCTCTTTTGTAGACAAGAAAATCGAAGCACAACGTGGTAATGCAACTTGCCCAGCAGCTCGTGGCTATTAACAGGTGGAGCAGGAATTAGAAGCCAGGTTCATACTCTCCTACTCAGTGCTGTCTCCACCGTAATACACTATTTCTCCAACAGAACAAGGAACTAAGAGTCATTGCTCAGAGGCTGGTGCTAAGGTTGAGAAATCACACAGAAAGACAGATGGCTCAACTTGTATTTTGCTTATCTTCTCCAACAGTTTTAAATGAAAACTGCAGAAAGCCACTGAAAACTGACACCTGAGCCTCATGACCAAGAGACTGTAACTACTTTATGTGAGTTTGAGTCTCTGGGCCCAGATGCAACCCATTCCATACTACTAAAGCAATTTGCAAATGTAATCACAAAGCTGACTCCCATAATCCTGGAGAAAGAGCTCAAAAAGACAAATATAATCATGGCCTGGAGATCTGTAGAGCTGCTTCAAGTTCTGGGGGCTAGAGAAGCAGGAAAGCAAATTTCAGAAACTACAAATATAAAATAATGAAGCAAATGCTTTGTGAAGAACTAGAGAAGAATGTAATGATCACTAGATGTCAGCAGGAATTCAAATAATAATAATGCCTAGTCAAACACATTTACACCTGGGAAAATACTGATAACAGCTTACATTTACTAAGCTCTTACTATCTGCCAGAGACTGTTCTAAGCACTTTATGTATTAACTCATTAATCCTCACAGCAACCCATTACATAGTTGAGAAAACAGAGGTTCAGAGATGAACGTACTTGCCCAAGACCACACAATTAGCAAACCCAGAAAAAACAACAACAGAACATTTATTCTGAAAAACACAGTATCCAAGATGACTGTGTCCATGCTATCTTTGTAAGTGTGTTATCTGAGTGTGGGCTGGATATTAGTGTAGTTAAGTTTGCTGCGCTATGTCGGCTCCGATGAGCAAAGTCTTTATGGAACTGCCTTGGAACGCTGTCCTCAGCCTTATATTGTTTTTCACTATTTATGAAATAATAAAGACAAAGAATATGCTCATAAAATCCTCTGGTTAAAGGAATCTGGGAGAAATAAACTAACATTAAAGTGAAACTTAAAGCATAAAGCTTTGCATTTAGTTTCCCCAAAATGTGCAATATAGAAATGGGGAAATGCTAACTTGGAAACAGTTTATATGAGAGGTGTTTATTAATGCACAAGTTTAATACAAACGTCTAATATTATGGGTGACTAAAAGAGCTAATGCAAACCTAATGCCCTAGGACACAGAGAACACATCAGCAACCATCTGTATACTCATTACTTAGCCTACATCAATATTATGTTTCTTTCTGTGGTCAACACTTTCAGAGCTACATTGATTTAAGAAAACTGCATATGAAGTTAAAAACAATGTCATGTGATAAAATTGTGCTTATCAAAACCAAATAAAATAAATGGTTTTCAAATACTTGAATAAGCGTTAATAAGAGAATTGGTTTTATTCAGCATCACTGCAGAGGGCAGACATAAAATGAGGATAACAGCATTTCTTAACCTTACAGGTTGCAAGGATTGAGCTACAAGGTATAAACTATCTGTAACAGCACCTGGCTAACAGTAAGTGCTCAGTAAGTTTTAGCAATTTTTATAGCAATTCGTTGAAGGAATTAACAAGTAAGCCTTTATTTATGCTAAACACATAAAGTGAGATATGATACTTCATTAAACCCTTGCAATAATCCTAGGAGATCTGTTTAAATCTATTTTCCAGAATAGAAACCAGAATTTTAAAGAAGTTGTTGCTTGCCCGTGACTATCGCTACAAAGCAATAAAAATGAGATTCAAACTTGTTTCCCTGACTCCAAAGCCTAAGTTCTTTCTTTTACTTTATTCCATATCCAGCACCTAACACTGGAACAGGTTGTCTCAAGAGGTGATGAACTCCATATCTGACTGAAGTTTTTAAAAGCTGAACTATCACAATAAAGTGGTAAAATATCACCTATGAATAATACTGTATGAAAGTTAACAACTTTTTTTTTTTTTTTTTTGAGACAGAGACACTCTGTTGCTTAGGCTGGAGTGCAGTGGCATGATCTTGACTGACTACAACCTACGCCTCCTGGGTTCAAGTGATTCTCATGCCCCAGTTTCCCCAGCTGCTGGGAATACAGGTGCACACCAACACACCTGGCTCATTTCTGTATTTTTAGAAGAGACAGGGTTTCATCATGTTGGTCAGGCTGGTCTTGAACTCCTGACCTCAAGTGATCCACTCACCTCGGCCTCCCAAAGTGCTGGGATTACAGGTGTGAGCCACGGCACCCGGCCCAAGTTAACTACTTCCATTTTGATGAATGTCTTCCCACTAAATATCATTTTATTATATCTAGTAATATTAGCCAAATAACAGTAAGTGTTTAATACAACTATCACAACTAATTACAACTATTCCTAATAAACACTACATATAAAAATAATTTTTAAGTCTCAGCATTAACACAAATAGAAGAAACCCAGGAGCTGTCAGATTTCTGCCTACTCATTCCATCTGTTTTCCTTCTCCTTGTTTGGTTTATGGACCCCACATTTATTCTGGAAGATTCAACGAGATGTGCAGTGCAAAATATTAAGACTAATATTAAATTTAATAACTGTAACTTACATGAATCTTGACATGTTGCTTAATTTTCTCTTTATGCTTCAATTAGAAAACTGAAACAACAGTACATCTTATTAATTTATAAACTATATACCAATTATACATGTTTGTTTCTAACAGGGGTACGAGGCTCTAAATAATATCATGTAGTTGGCAAGCATTTGTAATATGTTCATTTGGAACATGTCAAATATCCTTTTGGGGAGCTGTCACATATTCCATTCAAATGAGCTTACATAATCTGTCATCATTGTTAAATGGAATCAAAAGATAGGATATTAAAGGCATCTTGAGCCCAGTCTGCCCTATTATTACAGACAAGGTGAAACAAAGGCCCTGGAGGTGAGAGGACTTACTTGGGGATTATCTCATGGTAATATCACAAGTTTACTTCCTCTCCTCTCCTTCCCCTTCCCCCATGCACCCATTATGTCATTTTTAACACTCTAATTAGGTGAAGCTCTAACAGCAGTGTTTCCATTTAACAAATACTTAATTGAGTGCTTACTATTTACCAGACTGTTAAGGGAGACACTGGAGTTATACAGCAGTGACCAAAACAGACACGGCCACTGCTCTCCTTGAAACTCAAAGTGTGATGTGAGACACAGACATAACATTCACATAAACAGCTAGGTAATTATAAACTACAAGAAGTGATATGGCAGAGTATACTAAGGGGGCACAATTCCAGCTGGGATCTCAGGAAAGATACCTTTAAGGAAATACTAAAGCTGACATCTCTGGATAAGCAAGAGTCAGCAAAGCAGAGACAGAAAAAAAGGATTCCAGGAAGGCAAAACACATTTAGTTATTAAATTCTTCAAAAAGAAGCTCATTATTTAGTGTAGCCAGCATTCTTTTTGTACAATACTTAGTAAATGATAAAGAGATAAAATTCTTTTCCTATTTGGAATAACAATATTTATTATAACATGATTTCCTAGCAGTAAAGAGTTTTCCAGATTCAACTCAGCTTTGTGCACTAGAAATGCTAATGACGTGGAAGGTTGTGTCCGTGCCTCTTGACATGTATTAAATACAAGTCTTCTTTTACCATGTGAAAGTATGGGGCCTTTTTCAATGCAATTCTGACCAGTGTCCTAAAGTCCATGTCCATGTTGTGACACAGGTTTGACTTTGCTTAATAATTCTTTTCTAGCTTTTATATTGTATGTTGCATTAAAAAACTCAAGTATCTATGTTGTTGGTTTTTTAAAAAACCGTTATTTTGTAGCAATCCTGACAGTGATTTACATATTTTCAATAATACCTATTACTTTAGATTAACATACTTTTCCTCCGAAGAGCTCAGCATTTGCTAAACTGTTTCCTCTAAAATTCTGCTTATCTGGACAAGTGGCAGTTAAATCTCAGACCTTCCACTGTCAGAGAGTAATGAGCGAGCACACATGTATGCTCTGCTCAGGAACTAAAAAGTTTATCCAGTAATAAGATTACAGACTGCCAGCCTAGCAATGCAATATCAATCTATGTTGAGCTTGACAGATGTTCATCTCTGCACCAGTAGTAGCTATGAAATCTGACTGGCTAATAGCCAGTAAGCAATTTCTCACATACTGCCACAATAAACTAACCACAGAAGTGGAAAAAACTTTTTTCCTACATTAAAATTCAAATATCTCATAAGCACATTATCTCCAAGTTTTTCCTGAGACGGCTACTCAAAGAGGTACATATATGTAACAAGTTCGATTTGAATTACATAATCAGTGAGACTCAAAGTACAGTCATCGCAGGAGATTGTGAATAACAGCTTTATGATATCAAATTATAATTTGTACTAGCAAATAATTTCCCTATCAAGTTCTTTATAGTAGTTTCTTTTAAAAATGAACAATTAACTCCACTATAATATTTTCAACTTTAGAAAGTCTTTTAAAAAATAAGAACAAAATGTCCCTTAAGAAAACCGCACTTAAAAGACCACCTATTCATTTTTTCCTGTATGTGGTGTTATTTATCCTGAATTCGCAGATAATTTAAAAAATGTAATATCGAAAAGCTTGATTAAACACTTTGTGTGTGTGCAGCAGTGTTTAAATCCACTAACAGAAATTTCTATTTTGAAGTGACCATCCGATGAAACTGAAAGCTTAAAATTTTCTATAACTAAAAGACCATTATCTAGGATGCTTAAAAAATTAGTTTTAAGATACACATCAGTCAGCATTCTTGAAATGTGAAATGTTATATACTAAATTACAGAACCTGAGTCATCCTGAAATGTGAAATGCCATATACTAAATTATGGAACCGGGGATGGAACCTGGCTTGTCAAAGGAGTACTCCAAGCTCATGTGCTCAGGCCCATCACATCTGTATTACCACCTACTGAAGCAAAACCCTCCACCGTTTCTGCGTGACATGTTTCGAATCCTACTTTTAGAAAACCTACTTCTTGGACGAATGTTCATGCTTGAGCTCAACGCGGAATCTAACAGGGAAGGAGGCAAGCGTTCGTTGATAAAGGAAAAACTGGCCTAGATTTCACTCGGGGAAACTTTATAGAAGCCTTCTGCAGCAAAGCTAAGAAAATCAAAATTACTAAAAAGAACCAAAACATTAAGTAGAAGGTTAAAAAAAAAAAAACATTTCAGAGGAATAACATAACATTTTCTAGGGTACAAATTAAGGCATTTGTGGCTACGTCTCATAAAGGCTCTGTGTCGAACCAAGGAGTAGTTCAGGGTGTAACTTATCCTTCCTAATCAAAGATACACCGATAGTCTTATTTCCTGTGGGGATGGGTGTGGTTGAAGACACAGTTACGTCCATGCCATCAATCTGTGTGTGGAAAAGTCTGCAGGTCGCCAGCACACACTTGTAGCCTGAATTACATGTGTGCCTGCAGACGGCAAGGCCTATGCCTCTGACTGCGATGACTTGAAATAAAATACCCAACCTGCAATCCAGTAGTATATGTGGTCACTTTCATTGCTCAAAGACACAGTCGCACTCCTCAGTGTTTCATCTTAAGAAAAACCTCCCAGGAGGAAGCAAATCCGAGCGAGGCTGCAATTCGCAAATCCACAGCCAGTCGGGACACTGGGGCGGGGGGCTTATATTCTCCAAGCACCATTTACTCACCCCTGAGACGATTACAATGCAAAGTGAGGAAATGAAACGAAAAAGCTCGTCCAAAATGTAGCACTGCGAACGCCGCGGATCTGGCTTCGGGAAGTAGTTTGGGAGACTCGGGAACCGACCGCCTCCGAGGGTCAGGGCGCGGTGGTCGCTGGAGGGGTGCGAACCCAAGTTGGCCGCCGCGCGGACGCCGGAACTTGGCTCCCTTTGGTGGCCGCGGCGGCGCCC